GTATGTATGTATGTATGTATGTATGTATGTATGTATGTATGTATGTATGTATGTATGTATGTATGTATGTATGTATGTATGTATGTATGTATGTATGTATGTATGTATGTATGTATGTATGTATGTATGTATGTATGTATGTATGTATGTATGTATGTATGTATGTATGTATGTATGTATGTATGTATGTATGTATGTATGTATGTATGTATGTATGTATGTATGTATGTATGTATGTATGTATGTATGTATGTATGTATGTATGTATGTATGTATGTATGTATGTATGTATGTATGTATGTATGTATGTATGTATGTATGTATGTATGTATGTATGTATGTATGTATGTATGTATGTATGTATGTATGTATGTATGTATGTATGTATGTATGTATGTATGTATATGCATACTTCTTTATCCTTTTAGTCATATACGTTTAAACATATACTTTTGTGAATGGTATTTCTAATTAACCTATTTTGTGAAGCTATGATTATCAACTTAATCACCTTCTAAGCGCATTGTGTCATTTCAAATGACAAAATACTTCCTATGCGATGATAGCAATAAAAACAATACTACACTATCTCTCTGATTTACCCATTGTTGATAAGGACTTTATTACTGATAGTCCAAGGTTTTACTCAATCCGGAAATACTGCACAGACGGGCAAGCCTCGGGCCGAGACTTCCCTTGAAATTATATGTACGCAATCGTCGTTGCCCAAGCGATTACGACATGAGAGCGATTGTGGATTATCAGCAGCTTGGGTGCACTGCCATCCTGGTTTCGTCTGTGGAATGAATCACCAAAGGGAATCGTCAGCAGAATTCATAAGGAAAGACAATAAGATTAAAACAATTTGTTCTGTCTGTGGAATGAATTATTGATAGATATTATCAGAAAAGGTCATAAGGAAAGGGAGTGAGTAGATGCCATTTGTTTTGTCTGTGGAATGAATCACCAAAGGGAATCGTCAGCAGAATTCATAAGGAAAGACAATAAGATTAAAACAATTTGTTCTGTCTGTGGAATGAATCACCAAAGGGAATCGTCAGCAGAATTCATAAGGAAAGACAATAAGATTAAAACAATTTGTTCTGTCTGTGGAATGAATTATTGATAGATATTATCAGAAAAGGTCATAAGGAAAGGGAGTGAGTAGATGCCATTTGTTTTGTCTGTGGAATGAATTATTGATAGATATTATCAGAAAAGGTCATAAGGAAAGGGAGTGAGTAGATGCCATTTGTTTTGTCTGTGGAATGAATTATTGATAGATATTATCAGAAAAGGTCATAAGGAAAGGGAGTGAGTAGATGCCATTTGTTTTGTCTGTGGAATGAATTATTGATAGATATTATCAGAAAAGGTCATAAGGAAAGGGAGTGAGTAGATGCCATTTGTTTTGTCTGTGGAATGAATCACCAAAGGGAATCGTCAGCAGAATTCATAAGGAAAGACAATAAGATTAAAACAATTTGTTCTGTCTGTGGAATGAATCACCAAAGGGAATCGTCAGCAGAATTCATAAGGAAAGACAATAAGATTAAAACAATTTGTTCTGTCTGTGGAATGAATTATTGATAGATATTATCAGAAAAGGTCATAAGGAAAGGGAGTGAGTAGATGCCATTTGTTTTGTCTGTGGAATGAATTATTGATAGATATTATCAGAAAAGGTCATAAGGAAAGGGAGTGAGTAGATGCCATTTGTTTTGTCTGTGGAATGAATTATTGATAGATATTATCAGAAAAGGTCATAAGGAAAGGGAGTGAGTAGATGCCATTTGTTTTGTCTGTGGAATGAATCACCAAAGGGAATCGTCAGCAGAATTCATAAGGAAAGACAATAAGATTAAAACAATTTGTTCTGTCTGTGGAATGAATCACCAAAGGGAATCGTCAGCAGAATTCATAAGGAAAGACAATAAGATTAAAACAATTTGTTCTGTCTGTGGAATGAATCACTAACAAAAAAGATCAACAGATTTCATAAGGAAAGGCTGAATCACTCATAGGAATTATTAAGAGTGATCGTAAGGGAAAAACGACAAACAAACGCCAGTAAAATTTACACGCTATCACCGGCAGTCCTTTTGTAGAGAGAAAATAATGAGTTTATGCTTGACCGACAGCAGTTTATATTCTTCCTTGATTACATCGAGACCCTGCGATGGTCTTAGTTGAACGGCCCTCCCCCAAAAAAAACAAAAAACAAAAACAAAACAGAACACTTTTTTGAAGGGGAACACAAAACGCATCTCATATTTGAGATAAACAACAACAACAAAGAGATTATGAATTACCAATGGGAAAAGTTTTTTTTGGAATAATAGATAAACTGATAAACAAATGAGTAAATGGCGAGAAAAAAATAGACAAGAAAGTCGTCATGCGATGGCATCCGCATGATGAAATCTTCAGGATAACACTTAAGAAATACACAATGAAAATAACCTTAGCGAAAGCTTTTACATCATGTCTTCTTATCTCGCCCGCCGTATCTCCTCTTATCTACAGATACTTTAGATTTCTAGATAACTTTGCCTAGTTCCCCTGTCGCCATTGCCAGACCAAGTTCAGCCGCAGCGCAGTCTTTGTAGAGATAGAATAACGACCTGATTTTGCTCGTGATTACTACGTCTTCGTTGGACGTGATACAAACACTCAAGAACATTGATTGTAATCGTCATATATACTGCCTTGTTGATGTTAACCCTGGATTTGGTGTGATTTTAACATGTGCGTATATATATACGCAACCTAATAAATAACAGAGCATAGTTTTTTTTTATTAGCTCATGATATTAGCTCATGAATGCAAGCCTCGTATTTGTCTTTCATGTAGCACGTTTTTTTTTTTTTTTGAATGACATTTCTTAATCTCCTCCGTCGTGCATCTGTAGCACCCATTTCTGGCCTGGTCTCTAGTGGATTCAGTTGCTGTCGCTGGATCCACAAAGACACACTTGGCTTCGAAGTACCTAATCTTCTTGATATTTCGGCTCTTGGTAGTCCCTCTGATTAAAGAGCAATCATGACGCTACAAATGGTCTATGAGGTCTCCAATGCGAATGCTGGCGAACACTATTCGAACATCTTGTAAAGCTTCATCTGTACCAACATAACCAAATCAAATGCGATTGTTTCGCTTTCTTCTACTCCCAAGTAAAGATACTTTTAGCGAGTGTGTATGTGTGTGTGCATATATATATATATACATATAAATGCACACACACACACACACACATATATATATATATATGTTTGTGCGTGTGTGTTCATTCGTTCTTATGATGGTGCTTTGACATCGTAAAAAGAGAAAAGAAACCAGCATTTCTACAAGACTAACCACGACCCCCCTCTCTCCCGCGCAGGCGCACTGGTTCTCCTCGCCGCCTGCACTGGGTACCGTGTCCACAGCGCCTACGCGAAGGGGCGCAGCCAGCAGGACAGGAGCTAGGGCATGTTGTCAAGAGGCAGACTTTGTAATGGCTGTCACGTTTCGACACTTCTGAGAACTGTCTTTTGTTCTAATCGTATCTCTTTAAAACAGATCTGTAGATAAGTTAATATAGAAGTAAATGTACGATAAACACACACACATACATATATGTGTGTGTGTGTGTAGGTGTATATATGTTTATATATATATATTTTTTTTTTTTTATGAAACTAAGCATTCGAGGGAACATACTAGACAGTCTCCATTTGTTTTTTGACCATCAACATAAATACATAAAAATGGTACACAGGTTTATTTAGCTTCGTTGGGATAATATTATCTTTTATATCAATGCTTATATCTTAATCATTATCATAGTTACATCATTCTATGTGACTACATTACTGAGCCCATAGAATGAACAGCACGTCAGACTAGTCAGCCAGAAACCTTAATCCTTACCAATAACAATTAAGGTATAATTAGAACAATTAGAGAACAATAACAATTGGTTTTGCTGATAATGATGGTAATGATATTAAAAGAAACGACAACGATGTGATGATAATGACGATAACAATAACATAATGATAATGAAAGTAATATTATGTTAAAACCAAAATAACAATAGAAATCAAACAAGCTATGGTTATAATAATAGTATACCCATTAACACTATTAAAAGAAAACGTGCATTTTGAAGGGATTCATAGAAAACTTAATCCTTTAAAGGGTACACTTATTTCATTATTTAGCGTCTCTTATTATTATTATTATTATTATTATTATTATTATTATTATTATTATTATTATTATCATTATTATTATCATTATTATTATTATTATTATTATCGTTATTATTATCATCATCATTATTATTATTATTATTATTATTATTATTATTATTATTATTATTATTATTATTATTATCATTATTATTATTATTATCGTTATTATTATTATCATTATTATTATTATTATTATTATTATTATTATTATTATCATTATTATTATTATTATTATTATTATTATTATTATCATTATCATTATTATTAATATTATTATTATTATTATTATTATTATCGTTATTATTATTATTATTATTATTGTTATTATTATTATTATTAATATTATTATTATTATTATTATTATTATCATTATTATTATTACTATCATTATTATTAATAATATTATCATTATTATTATTGTTATTATTATTATCATTATTATTATTACTATCATTATTATTATTATTATCATTATCATTATTATTATTAATATTATTATTATTATTATTATTATTATTATTATTATTATTATTATTATCATTATTATTATTATTATTATTATTATTATTATTATTATTATTATTATTATCGTTATTATTATTATTATTATTATTATTATTATTACTATTATTATTATTATTATTATTATCATTATTATTATTACTATCATTATTATTATCAATATTATTATTATTATTATTGTTATTATTATTATCATCATTATTATTACTATCATTATTATTATTACTATCATTATTATTATTAATATTATTATTATTACTATTATTATTATCATTATTATTATTATTATTATTATCATTATTACTATTATTATTATTATTATTATTATTATTATTATTAATATTATTAACAAAGAGAAAAAAAAAGAAGTTTCACAAAAAATATATTTCTTTTGCAATTCCGCCCACACCGCCCACTCATCAGATCGCCTCCGTGTGCAGTATTTCCGTGGGCGTTGTGATTGTGCTTTGTGGCGTGCTTGCCGTCAGTGTGGTGGGCGGCTTGACCACGCCCATCATCATCGGCTCCGTCCAAACAGCTGTTGGAGGTTAGTACAGTAAAGACGAATGGTGAAACAGCTATGCTAATATTAAGAACGATGATGATGATGGTGATGATGATGATATAAATAATATCAATAAAGGTACTGATGACGAAACTAAATATGGAAATGATTATATTGATGAGGATAATAATGATAATAGAATATATGATGATATAACAATAATAACAATAAAAATAATTCTAATGATAATGATAATAACAAGAGTAATAATAATAATGTTAATAACGACAATAATAATAATAAAAGTAAAATAAGAATAACATTAAAATCAAAAGCATCAAATATCATGATAATCATAGTGTTAACACCACCAATAATAAAAAGCGATGAATAGAACGATGACTATAAACATAGCAATATTCACATTATTTATAATAAAACAACGGCATTCATAATTTCAATAAAGATTGTAAAAGAGGAATAATGTTTGAAGTTACACTAATAATAATTAAGGTGGTGTTGGTAATGATTATGTGAATTATTCCATACTTTCTGATATAAAAGTTGCGATGAAAATCAGTATCGTCATGTGAATACCTTTTGCTTTTTGCTGTTCACTTGTATCACTTTGACTAATATCACATTGTTATATTATTAAAAAGGGGACTTAATCTCATTAAAAAAAAAACTACAAATGGACACCAGGCTGCGAAAAATCCCACGTCCGCACGTCTTTGACGAGTGTAAACTTGTGGAGGACAAGTAAATTGTTTACCTCGCTGTCCGCATGGACGAGTAAAAATTTCCAGTAGATTTTCCCCTAAAATTAATGAAATCTAGCAAGGTCTAGTTCCTTTCAGTTCTATGATTATGGAGGCTGCCATATTTGTTTATATTAGTTTCATATATTAGTTATTTATATTAGTTTCATATATCACAGTTGATAAATTTCTTTATAACATATATATATATATATATAAATATTTCGGACAGAGGACGAGTGGAAAGTCAGGTGTACTTGTCCTCCTGGACAAGTGAAAAAAAAAAGATTTTTCGCAGCCTGGACACTTACCGCAGTTTAGCACAGACATGTAAACAAACCATGAAAATCTAAGCAATATCTTTTTTATAACACGATTATACGCGTTCCATTCGCCTTCTGTACACCATGATACTTTTTACAGTGTTGTTCGTGGCAGCAGGTGGCTACGGCTACAACAGGTACAAGAACCTTCGTCATGCGCAGAAGGTGGCGATGGCGACGAAGGCCCAGGAGCTCGCCTTGGGGTACGGCTCCGAGACAGCTATCATCGACATGCTCGGTTTCGTCGCCCCCGTGTTGGCTCTGATCCCAACCGATGGCAGTGTTGTAGAAGCGGCTGCTGGAAGTACCTCTAAGAACGTGGAGGGGACTGTTGGAAATACACCCGAGGACGAGGAAGGAATGAAGACTCCTGTTATCAAGTTAAGGCCTGGCTTGGTGCTGATCGAAGGCCTGAGGGGCAGGGACGGCAGACCGGTGGCCGTGTGCATGGAAAACCTGTACGACGGACCAGTCAGGCTGTACCCAGGGATGTCACCTTACCATCTCCTCACTGTCCTCCTGGTGGTCCTCGGGCTAACCTTCGGCAGTTCGGCCGTCCTCGCTCTAGCCGTGAGCTTCCCTGTCGATGCGAGTGTGGCCAAAAACTGCTTGGCGCTGGGGGCGGTCGGCGGTGAGGAACACTGGGCTTGCCTGGACGTCCTTCAGCCTCATTCAGTCGTGAAATAATGTCAATCATAGCCTGAATATTGCATCTTATTAATGTTACTACTATTATTTGTTACTCCTGTTTCTGCTACTACTATCAATGTTATTACCATTATTCCCTTGTCCACAAACACCCAGACACTGGCGTTTAAAGCATTTAGGGAATTTCAAGAACTGTTGTGAATATGTCTGCCCTACTAACGTGAAATTCGCTAAGCATACATACATACACACGTAAATATGTTAGTATATACATACTTATGTATGTATATATTGGCTATATATGTTTAAAAGAATACACACACACACACAAATATATATATATATATATATATATATATATATGTTTGTGCGTGTGTGTTCATTCGTTCTTATGATGGTGCTTTGACATCGTAAAAAGAGAAAAGAAACCAGCATTTCTACAAGACTAACCACGACCCCCCTCTCTCCCGCGCAGGCGCACTGGTTCTCCTCGCCGCCTGCACTGGGTACCGTGTCCACAGCGCCTACGCGAAGGGGCGCAGCCAGCAGGACAGGAGCTAGGGCATGTTGTCAAGAGGCAGACTTTGTAATGGCTGTCACGTTTCGACACTTCTGAGAACTGTCTTTTGTTCTAATCGTATCTCTTTAAAACAGATCTGTAGATAAGTTAATATAGAAGTAAATGTACGATAAACACACACACATACATATAATAATGATAATAACATACACACATACATATATGTGTGTGTGTGTGTGTGTGTGTGTGTGTGTGTGTGTGTGAGTGTGTGTGTGTGTGTAGGTGTATATATGTTTATATATATATATTATAAATAAATATATAAATCATATATGTATATCTGTATATCTACATATCTTTATACACACACACACACACACACATATATATATATATATATACATACATATACATATATATATGTATATATATATATATAATGTATATATATATATATATATATATATCTATATCTATATATATATATATATATATATATATATATATATATATATATATATATATATATATATATATACATATATATATATATATACATATACATATATATATATATACATATATATATATATATATATATATATATATGTATGTATGTATGTATATAGCATACTTCTTTATCCTTTTAGTCATATACGTTTAAACATATACTTTTGTGACTGGTATTTCTAATTAACCTATTTTGTGAAGCTATGATTATCAACTTAATCACCTTCTAAGCGCATTGTGTCATTTCAAATGACAAAATACTTCCTATGCGATGATAGCAATAAAAACAATACTACACTATCTCTCTGATTTACCCATTGTTGATAAGGACTTTATTACTGATAGTCCAAGGTTTTACTCAATCCGGAAATACTGCACAGACGGGCAAGCCTCGGGCCGAGACTTCCCTTGAAATTATATGTACGCAATCGTCGTTGCCCAAGCGATTACGACATGAGAGCGATTGTGGACTATCAGCAGCTTGGGTGCACTGCCATCCCTGGTTTCGTCTGTGGAATGAATCACCAAAGGGAATCGTCAGCAGAGTTCATAAGGAAAGACAATAAGATTAAAACAATTTGTTCTGTCTGTGGAATGAATTATTGATAGATATTATCAGAAAAGGTCATAAGGAAAGGGAGTGAGTAGATGCCATTTGTTTTGTCTGTGGAATGAATCACTAACAAAAAAGATCAACAGATTTCATAAGGAAAGGCTGAATCACTCATAGGAATTATTAAGAGTGATCGTAAGGGAAAAACGACAAACAAACGCCAGTAAGATTTACACGCTATCACCGGCAGTCCTTTTGTAGAGAGAAAATAATGAGTTTATGCTTGACCGACAGCAGTTTATAGTCTTCCTTGCTTACGTGGAGTCCCTGCGATGGTCTTAGTTAAACGGCCAAAAACAAAACAAAAACAGAATACTTTTTTGTAGGGGAACACAAAACGCATCTCATATTTGAGATAAACAACAACAACAGAGAGATTATGAATTACCAATGGGAAAAGTTTTTTTTTTGGAATAATAGATAAACTGATAAACAAATGAGTAAATGGCGAGAAAAAAAATAGACAAGAAAGTCGTCATGCGATGGCATCCGCATGATGAAATCTTCAGGATAACACTTAAGAAATACACAATGAAAATAACCTTAGCGAAAGCTTTTACGTCATGTCTTCTTATCTCGCCCGCCGTATCTCCTCTTATCTACAGATACTTTAGATTTCTAGATAACTTTGCCTAGTTCCCCTGTCGCCATTGCCAGACCAAGTTCAGCCGCAGCGCAGTCTTTGTAGAGATAGAATAACGACCTGATTTTGCTCGTGATTACTACGTCTTCGGTTGGACGTGATACAAACACTCAAGAACATTGATTGTAATCGTCATATATACTGCCTTGTTGATGTTAACCCTGGATTTGGTGTGATTTTAACATGTGCGTATATATATACGCAACCTAATAAATAACAGAGCTTAGTTTTTTTACTCTGGCACAATGTGTTTGTTGACTTTATAAAAAACAAACAAACAATAAAAACCAGTAATTAAAAACAAAACAAACAAAGTGCTTCTCAAAAAATCACAAATACAAAAAAAAAAAAAAAAAAAAAAAATACAAGCAGAAAATAAGCCACAATTACAGCCTAAATAAGCGCCAAACAAGGCTAAAGCAACAGCTGCAATATATCAAGACTTTTCATCATCAATAAACTGAAAAAGGGCGGAGCATCATGGTTCACGGAGGCTTCGGACATTGCTCGAGGATGGACCAAACAGAGGACGATTTTCCCACGCAGGAGGAAGTGAAGATCTCGTTGATGAGAGGACCCTTCAAGGTAAGTTTGAGACTGTGCAACAGAAATGAAAAATTAATCTTGTATTTGGGTTTGTTTCTGATATCCGACATGATACCATTTTTTGTTTTCATACAGTCATTTTGATACATGTGTGTTTTTTTATGTGTACACTCGCTAAAATCTTTACTCTTTCTGACTTAACATTATGATACGACGACGAAAACAGTTGGAAAAAGTGTTGTGAACTCGACCTGACATTGGTTTCCCTGACAGGGGCAGTTGCCTCCCTCCACCCACTCAAGACTCTGTTTGTCCCCTCAAGGTCTTGCTTGCTCCCCTAAGGGCCACATTTATTAACCTTTATTCTAATTACATCTATATAGATCTGGTTATAGCCTAACGTACCCTTAAGACAGCATTTTCTTGTTTACTTCGCTCAGGTACATAAAAAAGGGTTTTGAAATGTATAATACTTTTAATATTTCACGTTACCGCCAATCGATTTGGCAAACACTGGCAAGTCTATGTGGCATGGATGCCTCTGACGCTGCCGTTAATTGGCATCCGTCTGCAGAGCACAATCGCTCTCATCCCGTAATTGCTTGGGCAACGACGATATGACGATTGCAGGGAAGACTGAGTCCAAGGTTGTTTAACATTCTTAAAGGGATCAAGATCTGGCGATTTGGGTGGATGTGTCAGCGTAATCTCGGGATGTGCCGAAATCACGCCTTCACGACACTGCTCTGTGGTTGGGGCTGTTATCCTTGATAAGGTAAAGAGGCTCCAACTCGGGGAGCACCATGGCCCTCACCAATGGTAGAAACATTTCGTCCAGGATTTCCACATAGGCATACCCCGTAAATATGCCGGACCCGACATCCGTCACTTCCGCTGCGGTTTCTGATAGTCTGCGTGCTGCAACGTAATGCAAAGTCCCGCTGGATGTTATCAGCAGAACAAAGGGATCTGTATCCTTTACAGTACGTAGGGATTATTAAAAATATATATATGGAAATTAAAAACTAAGAAGAAAATGACTCACGTTAAGGGGACCTTGCGACTAGCTACCTAACACACCCTCTCTCTCTAACCCAGTTAATTGTAAGGGATGTTGCCACTGAGTATCAGAGGTTTTTTTTATTAGCTCATGATATTAATGCACATGAATGCAAGTTTCGTATTTGCCTTTCATGTAGCACGTTTATTTCTAGGTCTGAATTTCTTAATCTCCTCCGTCGTGCATCTGTTGCGCCCACTTCTGGCCTGGTCTCTGGTGGATCCAGTTTTGTCGATGGTTCCTCAAAGACACACTTGGTTTCGAAATACCTAATCTGCTTGATATTTCGGCTCTTGGTAGTCCCTCTGATTAATGAGTAATTATGACGTTACAAATGGTCTATGAGATCTCCATTGCGAATACTAGCCTGGTACAAGGACCTAGCTATATCAACTCCGAAACACTATTCGAACACCTTATAAAGCTTCATCTGTTCAGAACTTTGGAAACAAGTACCAACATATCCAAATCAAATCCGGTCGTTTCGGTTTCTTCTACTCTCGAGTAAAGATATTTTGTTAGCGAGCGTATATGTGTGTATACATAGCATATATATGTATACACACACACACACACACACATATATATATATATACATACATATATATAATATATATATATATATATATATAAATATATATATATATATGCATATGTATATATACAGAGACACATATATGCATATATGTACATGTATATATATATATATATATATATATATATATGTGTGTGTGTGTGTGTGTGTTTGTGTGTGTGTGTATATATATGAATGTAAATATAAATATGAATGAATGAATAATCAAATAGATAAATTAATAAATAAATAGATATATACATTATATGTTTATGTATATAAATTATATGTTTATGTATATATATATGTATATTCTATATATATATTACACACATATATATTATACATATATAGAAAAAGAACAGAGAAACAAAAAAATAAAACTAGACTGATAGACGGAGAAAAAATCCTGAATCTTACAAACAGAAAAAAAAGCATAAACGGCTCTTAATCCTCAAACCTCCTGTTTCTTTTCAGACCTCTGCCATCTGTTCCTTCTCGCTGGGTATTCAGACTCTCACGTCTGGCGCAGTTGTGATCGGGATCGTAGGCAACTTTACTGTACCTCTCGTTGTCGGTTGCATTCTGGTTGTGCTCGGCGGTGAGTACTTGCGTTGATTCCAGGGACTATTCGAACAGTAAGTCTTATTCGCACAATGTGGATGGATACTATTCGCACAGTTGAATGGGTTACTATTCGAACAATATCGGTGGTAACTATTCCCAATGTGTTGATGAGTACTATTCTTACAGCGTGGATGATTACTATTCACACGGTGTGGATGGTTACTATTCGCACTGTCTTGATGGGTACTATTCACACACTGTGGCTGGTTACTATTCACACGGTGTGGATAGTTACTATATACAGTTACTATTTGCACAGTGTGAATAGTTACTATTTGCTCAGTGTGGACGGTTACTATTCGCACACTGTCGATGGTTACTGTTCGCACTGTCTGGATGGGTACTATTCGCACATTGTCGATGATTTCTACTTGTATTTTTGGAATGGGCGATGAGCTCTGATTTGCATGATCACATTTACCTTGCGATGGGTATCTCTCTCTCTCTCTGATCTTATGATTTCATTTTTATAAAGAGTAAAGAGATTTGCACTTACCTTCTGTTAGTCCATATTAAACCTATGCAATCCCTGTTCATCTAACTTTCGCGCGGTATTACAACCCAATAGCTCGTTACTAGCCCTAATAGCTGATTCTTCTGCGATGCGCTGTTATCATTTCTGTCTCATTTTTAATTCTTCCCATTATCTTTTTATTCATCTTAATTTCTCGTATCATCTCGTATCGTTGCCTTTCTTCTGCTTTTGCCTTCCGATCGTGTTTTGTTACCTTTTTATGATCGTTTTTTCCATCGTCAACTAAGTTCTGTAGAATATATTATCTGGATTAAGATACAAATTTCTCCTCTTTCTTCTATGAATATGTTTGGCATCCAGATA